TTCCAAATGATGCTACCAGGCACATCTCTTTCCAATAAAAACCCCTTTCTGCAAGCTGCACAACATGAGAGATATCTTCATTAGGAGGCAAGATAAAGATCACTATTTTACATGCTTATAGTGAAATAAATGAATAAAAAAATACTTGCATGTGCATGAATATGTTAAGAAGCATATTTGATTGTTCTACTTTTTAAATTTTATTTATACAGTAAAACTGTTAATTTTCTTTCGTTGCCTCAAGGCAACACTGTGCAGTTAGCCCAGTTGTTTTTTTTCCAGGCAATATAATGCATTAGCATTATATGTGTGTAGAGATGTGTTTGTGTGCATTTATATGATTATAGTCAATGTTTTTTTACTTTACAATCTACTCATAATTACATGGACATGGATGTAAATACCTTTTATGGAAGGAAACCAAGGGGATGTGCACTTTCTGTCCTCAGAAAGTGAGGACAGTGAGCTTTCAGGGAGTGACAGTGAAGTAGAGGAGTGGATCCCTGAATCAGGTCCCTGAATCTAAAGCTCCCCCAAAATAGGGAGAAATATTTTTTTCCCAAAAAAAAAAAAAAAAAAGTCATGCAGTAGAGGGTTTTAACATATTCTTGGATTCCAAACTGACAGCCATTTCCATACCAAGATGCTCCGAGTTCAGCCTCAATCCCAGCTCCAAGTAATCATAGTTTCTCGTGTGTATTTGAAGAGTATAAAATTAGAAAATATTCACCTTTCTTCACGTCTGGAACTGCAGAAGGCTCGATCCCTCTGACGAATGCCCAGGCATCTCGCTCTGAGGCAAACTTCTTAAAGGAGGCAGAAGGAAATTTGTCCACTTGGCTCTTACACTCGTCCCTAAATGACAAAAAAATAAAAAGTAAAAAATCAGGAGAATAAAAATCTTGAGATGTCTTCATTCTTCCCTCCGGACACTTTAATGATACACCTTTTCAACTGCAACTCAATCCATTCAGGCACATAGACATGGTCAAGATGACCCACTGAAGTTCAAACTGAGCCACTGGAATGAGGAATAAAGAGAATTTAAGTGACACTGAACATGGCAGTGATTTTTGGTGGCAGACACACTGGCCTGAATATTTCAGAAACTACTGATTTCTGAATTTCCAGCATTCAAAATGGTCTGAAATGAGAGAAAACATCTAGGGCAGACTCCAATCCGGCCCAGTGGGCAGCTTTGGAGGATCTGTGTTTTAACTTTTGACTGTTTCCTACCATTTACGGTACATTAAACTAATTAAGTAACAGAAAAACAATAACAAAAATGTTCCCTTCTTGTAACAATAGGTCCAAAGTTTCTTTTCTCAAAGATTAAATGTGTAGTTAAACTTCTGTGCACTAACAGAAGGTGGAGTTTCACCGGTCTGGTCCTGGCGTGTTGTTTATTTTATTTGTATTTATTTGTAATATAAACAAACCAAAGACATACTACATTTCTAGTTATGTAAGAATAAATCAATTTTAGGCCCTCCTACTCACAAATGAGCCACATTAATGGCGGAAATACATTTAACAGTTTGAAGGCTAACCACCTGAAAAACTGAGAAAACGAAGCCGTGTATGTTATGCTTCCATGCCGAATTAAAGTGTGGGATGTACTGACAGGGAAACATTGATATGATCTTAAACCCGGTGGGTTGTTTTACTGTAGCTCAAGAAGAAAAAGAAATCTTCGTGCATCTAAACGGAAGCTGGCATCCACTCACTCTCACTGAAAGAACATACACTTTGAATAGCCAATAACATTGATTTTCTTAAAAACAAATGTGCAGGCATTGAGGTGTGTCCGGTCTCACCATGAAGTGTAGACTCCGGTTTTGTGTCCTTTCCTAACTGCGTAGAAAAACTTCCCTTTCGCCATGTCGTCAGCAGCGCTACAAAAGGTCCTGCATGCAGCTCTGAAAAGACCAGTCAGCCTAAACATCACTGTCTGCCAACACACTGCGGGGGGACAAAGGTGGCTAGCATCGTGATATTAACTCGGATACATTCAAATGTCAATAGATTTGAGTAGTGAAGGCGTGGTTTGACATAAAACCTTGAAATATGGGACCAAATTAGCAGCCAGGTGTACAGATGTCCGGGAAAGCTAAACCCGAAAAAGCCCAAAAAAGTATTCCCTATATATTTAACACCAGTCTAATAAGTCTTGCAGTCATCTTAGTTTCTTCATTGGCCGTATATCCCTATCTGATAATGTTGCAGTAAACAAAATCGAACAAAAATCAGTCTAAACGCACTGCAATAATCTGCCTGCAGTTTCCCCGACTGTTTTCTACTACACTCACGCGATAATTCTTATCACTTCAAGCGTTTCTACAATTCTCGCGATAGAAAAAAAAGGTCGCTCCCGATTGGATTAATCCAACTCTCGCGATGTTCCGGCCTCTTCCTTGGCCGTCGTTGACAGAGGTTAGTCGTGCCATTTTACTCTGGACTGGCTTTTCTGTTTTAAAATGTACTTTAAATGTGTTTAATGGCAAGGTTTACACACAGTAAGGCAAGTGAAGCCTGTGATAGCTTAGATTATGTGATTTGCAGTATCGGATGGCTCATCTTAATGTCTAAATAAGACATAGTAGAGGGGCTCTGCTCAATGAGTTCGCCAAGCGAGTAGCGGCTAGCAACAGGCCGTGCATGTGTTCAGTTAGCCGTCACAAAACCGAAGGGAAAAGAGCTTAATTTAATTTTCAGGGTCGGATATTCAGCTCTTTTAATTGTGACTCAAGTAGTTATTATGTATGTGCCGTTTTATGCCCATTGGGCTGTTATATCAATCTCCTGTGCTATTGTGGGCTAGCCCGGTTAGCTCAGCGGTGTTACGCCTGGACGTTAGCGGTGCTCTGGGCTTTCAATATAGGGTGGATATTAAATATGTTCGGATGCTGGTGGGTCTAACCTAAATGTTTTTATTTCTCCGTGCAGAGACAAAGGCCATGTTCAGTACCAGCGCCAAAATAGTGAAGCCTAATGGCGAGAAGCCAGACGAGTTTGAGTCTGGGATCTCTCAGGTAAGAAAGTCTTAACGGTATCACAGATCCATGTATTATTGAAGCTTCAGTCCAGCTGAATGAGTAACTGTGGGGGCCTTTGGGGAGAAAACGGTAGAGGGCATCATGATCTCCTACACCACATCATGAAGTGTGGTGTAGGAGATCTATATGATTTATTGGTCAGCCATTCCATAACTGCACTATCTGTTAATATGAGGCCAATTTTACGTCAGTGATGCAGCCTTAAAATTATATCATATTTGTCGTTGAAGAGTCTGGTGCACAAAGTACCAGCAGCACCAGCATTGCAGTGCAATAGTGGTGATACATTAGAAGTTCAGTAAGCAAAAAAAGTAACCCAGGTCAAGTTTTCTCTTTCAAAAGAAGAAAAGGCAAGTAAAATAATGCACCTGTGAGTGTAGACATGTTCCACATCGTGGGACAGACAGCTGTACCCCTGGCTTAACTGATTAGTTTAACAATAACTGAAGTGATGTTTTAACCCTGCCCACCAGGCGGCTGTGGTATTTCTCATCTAGTGTTCCCTAAAGCTTACCTGGTTGTTCTCATGGCGATCAGTCAGCTGTCTCAGATTCTAACTCTGCTGTCTTGGACAGCAGCTGGTGATGGAAGTCTTTCTCCTTGATGTGGAGAGATCTTGTAAGTTGGAAGGTGATGTAATCCTGAACCTTCAGCAGCTGAAGGTCACTGAGGCTCAAGAGTATAACCGTCACCAGTTGGAGTCCAAGATGGTGGAGTTGTTAGTCTGTCTTCAGGATGAAGAACCTACTGGTGCAGCAGCTGATAATTGAGTCTCACAAAATAACTTTCGGTTTTTAAAATGTATTTTAAAAAGGGATGGTTTTGTTTCTTTTAATGACCACATGGAAAATCTGCCATCGGTGGGATTGGGCTCTCCTTTAGAGAGAAGCAGAAATATGAAGCTAATAGAAGACGTTTGAGCTAGTCAGAGGTAGGATGAGAGATGTGGTTGTGCTTGCTTTACTCATTTGACTGGTCTTTCCACAGGCTCTGCTCGAGCTGGAGATGAACTCTGACCTGAAGGCTCAGCTGAGAGAACTGAACATCACTGCAGCAAAGGTGAGAGTTCACACAAACCTGTGTGCATGAGCTTCATATGATTGAATGATTTTCATAACTGATACATAGATTTTGTTTTAACAAGCCTGTTGCTGTGTTTGCTGCTTTTCACTGATTTAAAATCAAGCTTTAATTTATCTTTATGATAAGTTTTAAATCAAATCCAATGTGGACATCCAGAGAGTTGCTCTCCTGGCTCTGTCCTGGTGGCGTATGGGAGCGTAGCTCTGAGCTGAGACGTACAGTCCCGTTCCACAACGTTGGAGAGAAAGCTCTGTCCCCGGCTGCTGGCTGGTGAGGACGAGCGTCCTGCATATTCCTACATCTTCCCAGAGTCCTTTGGGGC